CTAAGTCATGAAACTTAAAACCATGAAGTTGAGTGAGACAGCTTTAATACTGTTGTTGTTTTAATTGCTTAGTCTTTAGTATTTGCAGTATGGTTGTGCCTGGGGTCTCAGTCCTGGGCTTCAGAATGAAGTGCTGCCCAAGCTTGAAGTCCCCACCTAAGAGATGCAGCACAGCCCCTGGATGAAGGAAGATGCATCGGGGGCAGGTGGGAGTGCAGAGAAATGCAGGGGCATTAGTTTGAAACTAGTATTTGCATTTTCTCAGCAGAGTACAGAACTCCCTGTCTGTAACAGATGTTCTAAAAATACAGAACAAAACTTGGTTTGTGAAACTTCACCCCACCCCCAGGGAATAGCTGTCCCTGCCACGAGCACGGATTGTCCACGAGTCCCCAGCCCAGGAGCCAGGGCCTTAGAGCAGTTCAGGAGTGGCTCTGCTCAAGTCCTGTAGCCATGGTTTTCTGGTTGTTTCTTGTGTTTCTTATTTACTATGTGATATCATGGTATATACTTCAAACTAAGTTACCTTTTGTTGCCAAAAAAACCCCAAACGTGGTGGAAAAGCAGTTTGTCCCACTCATGTACTTGGAGCAAACATCCACCATGGGTGCCCCATTTCCTTTGGTCTTCTGTTTTTATGCTGTGGCTCATCTCAACAGCCCTTCTGGTTTAAGCTCTGAAATCACTGGATTCAGCTGGATGCCCCATTGGAAGTAGAGGGAATATTTCTCAAATCAGCAGCATCTTTTGAAATGGAATAAACTTTTTTAAATTCAGGTACTAGAGGTATTTTAAATTAGCTCTTTTTCTGTTCCTCCACTGCTGCCAGTGCTTTCAGTTAGGAAGTGCAGCTCTTCCCCAGCTCTGCAAATATCTACTGAAATTTGCAGTGCTGCTTGCCTCTCTCTCAGTAACCTTGCTGTGACCTGGTTATCTATTAGAACCACAAAGAATTCAGTCTCTAATTAGTCCATCTGTTAACTATTCAAATTCATGACTTAGTTTTATTGTCTGAGCCTTTGACATAATGCTGAATGGTCTCACCTGGCAGCTTATTTCTTATAAAGCAAATGTGCCTTTCTGAGAGCCATTTTGGTGCAGATAACTGTCTTTTCAGCATTGGACAAATGAGACTGTCTAGCAGCCTGCAGTCCCCTTCCTGCCCTCGCTGAAAAAAATGGTACATCTCCAATAGCTCTGGGCTTAAGTCAATACAGTTTAACATGTACAATTTCTTTGTTATATTCTTTGGAGTTACACTGTAAGAGCAGATGAGAAAGTTTAATAATGATAAATGAGTTTAGTATTTTCACATAGTCCTAAAAACAATGAATGCTCTTTATTAAAGATTAGAGGGTTTTTTACATACTTACCAAAGAGTGATTACAGCTCTGGTTCAGCTCCTCAGAAAGTCTTGCTTTTAAATTCTTTTTGGACTGTTTGTTAATGAGGATTCAGAGGAATTAGGGGCCATAAATTTACTCATTCTTGCTTAAGTGAAGCCACAAAGAGATTACTGGATATATCACTAAGTATTGAGGACTGAAGGTTATCAACCATGTTCACCCAGAACAATTCATCTCCACGCTTATCTGCTGCAGCTGTGGGTTTGCTGATGACGGGGCTCGAGCTCGTCGGTGGGTTTTTGGAAGGATGCAGATTCATAAATGTCCATGGTAGGTCTCTGTGTGCACGCTTTCCATCCAGCAGCTGCCTGTTGGTTGCTGTGCCAGGCCCAGGCTGGCTGCAGCTGGGGTTGGTGACCGCGGGGCCTGGGCTGCCGTGGCCTCCACGGGACACTCGGTGCCTGGACAGTGACTGAAGCATTACACGTTCCTGAAAGCCTGGAGACCGACTCTCTTCTCCCTGCTCTTGGAACTAGTCCATGAGATACTAAGTGAGAGCTGTGCAGTTTTCCCCAAGGCCTTTCTGAGCAGAAATTGCCCCATTGGGAAGCCCAGGGAGTGCTGCAGGAGCTCTGGACCTGCCGTGACACTTTGCCTGGCAACGTGTTCTCAAACTCACTCTCCAGTTCCAGGTCTGTGTGTTGTGCCAGTTTAGTTAGGGATTCTGCCCATTTTAATATGAGTTTGGGGAGGGGAAAATGGAGAAAAAACATGATACTCACATGCAAATGCTTTTTTCCTTTTTTTTTTTTCTTTTTTTAAATTTTTTTTTTTTAAGTCTAAGAGTCAGAACCTCCCATAGCTCTCTACACCCTCCACTGTAGCTGTTCAGCTCAGCCACACAGACCCTTGGGTGGGAACATCCACTTTCAACATTCCCAGCTTTGGCAGCAGAATCCTCCTCTCTTTGCTGTCTTCCTGAATTTATAATGGTATAAAACCAAACTACAGACAAGTCAAGATTATGGCTGCTTTGGCTTGGTTTTACTAGGGGAAGGAAAGTGATTTTTCTTGGGAAGTGATGAAAAGGAAAAATGTTTAAAGTTCATTAACCTTTGATACAGATTGCAGTGTCCTTTAGACTACACCATAGCTATTCTTAGTCATGACGTGCGAGTGGTTCTTTTTTATTGTACAGGAATACAGTAGTTCCCACTAGTGGTGAAAAGAGAGAATTTTTTCCTTTTCCTTTCTGTTTTTCTTTTTTGTCTTAACCTAAACGTGAACTTGTAGAAGTCAGGATTTCGAACTCACTCTTTGGCTTCTCAGCTATGCTATTTTGTCCTAATTTCCCCAAAAGCAAACTGCATATCTCTGGATTGTTTCTTTACTGGCTAATTAAGTGTTATACAACTTTGCTCTGAAAAACTCAGCAACCCATTCGGTGTATTTGCAAATGAACTTTGCTGATTGTCATTATTGCTATAGGGTGCCTGCAGAAAATCCCATATAATTAAGCAGTTGTACCACCACAGCACAACAGCTGCAATTAGTAATGTGATTTACACTTCTTTACCATTAATAATATGGAAACATCAACATTATTTTCTTGATGATGTTTAGGAGAAATTAGAATGAGGTGGACATGATTAGGAAAAGACACTTTTATGTTATGACTTGTTAATGCAATCGCCCAGAGCAAGACATCAGAATGATTGTCCTTGCACTAAAACTCCTTTGCTTCAGTAAGCACAGACCCTCTGTGCACCACAAGACAAGTTTGGAGGAAATTGGATAGATGGCAGGGATTTTGGTGGTATGAACATTTCAGCATCTTTCATGTGCAGAGTACACAAACTGAATCTCTCCACTTCCAAATATTCCCCCAGAGGCAATCTGCATTATTCAAAGCTTAACTGTGGTTGCAGAATTCTGTCTGACATGAAAGCAGCCTGCCAGCTTAAAATGAACTTTCATATTTACATCTGTAGTAAATCATATTTACTTTTTCCTGCCCTCCTCTTTTTTTCCGTGGGAGAGAGGGAGTAAAATGGGTAGGAGGGAAGGGGGAGGAGGAGAAATGTCCAGCAGAATTGTAAGCAAAGCACCAGTAATAAAATCTAGTCTTACGAGGCTGCCCATGAATAGGAATGATAATGAGAGCAGTGATGAGCTGCAGGTTTGTGTCTTTTAGTAAATTATCTAGCAGGCATTTACATTTCATCAATTGTGCTTTTGCATAATAGACCAAAGTGCTACAACAAAAGGAGGCACCATAAAAATGAGTAATTTCAGTGACCTTCTTGGTAATCCCTCTTAGAAAGAATGTCTTGGAAGGAGTTGGATGATTCCTCATGGTGAAGCCTCTGTGGAAAGGTGCCTCAGGCTCAAGGAGCTTTCCTGGTGACAAATGCCTTTTCAAGGCTTCCTTCTGGCCCCTCTGAAACAGGGCTGGTATCCTGTTTTCTCCAGCTGAGCAGGCTTCTAATTGTCAGATGTCAGAAGGCAACAACCATTTTCTTCTTGCTTATCTCCTGATAACATTGATTCTCAAACAAAGGATGTGGGCTTCCACTCTGAAAACAAAGGAAGCATGGCCCAGCTAAGGATGCTGGATATAATATACATACTTCTCCCTTCCAATAATAACAATACATCATAAATTATGTAGAAGCTGGATGTGAAAACAGAGAACGGGGAATACGCTGGTGCTGCTGTTCCTGGGTACAGCACTCACAGGATCTTGTCCTTAGGAAGGCCTTGATTTCTTCCCTCATTTTTCTCTTGTATTTCCCTGAATACCTGCCAGCTCCGAAGATGTTTAGCATTCAGTATTTTTAAAATTCTTTTTCCATTTTGGGTTGTGTCTTTGCCATGTTCTGGTGAATTATTTTTTCTCTCCTCCCCATTGTGCTCTTTCTTTGGAGGCAAGAGCTCAGCTGTCAAAGTCAATTTGGATCTTTCACTGAGGACTTAGAAAGAGGCTGGTTTGTGCCAGGCAGGAGCAGGGCTCACTGCATTTATTACTGATTTGTGCCTAGGCATGACCTGGCCCTGCATTTTTGTATGTTCTTCTGTCCTTTCACAGTGGCCTCTTCTTGTTCATCTGCTCTTGAAACCCACAAGAACCACCTCAATCCCAGGCCCACATCTTCCTTATCTCTCTGGGTCCTGGGTCTGATGGCATCCTTTCCATTCCTTTGCCTTTAGTTTGCTCTTTTCCTGTAGGTTTTTCCTCTACATTCACATGCCAAATCCTACCCTGATGCAACTTTCCTTTCCTTCTGTATTTCAGTAGAATAGTTGGAGAAGTTGAGAGAAATGTGATGCTTTACTCCCACCCCTCTGCCAGCCAGGCAGCCCTGTGACTGCAGCAGTGGTAGTGAATGGGTCCCATGGCCTTGGGCAACACACGAGGAATTTTGGTTTAACCTTTAGCTTCTCTCACTTCTTCTTGCGCTGATCCTTAGAAATCAGAGCACTCCCCCACCTCTCACTGTCCTCACTGGAACACACCAGGCCATGTGAGTCCATGAGGTGTTTTGGCCTTGGGACAGCTGAAAACTGAAGAGAGGGCTTCAGTAGAGAGGCGAAGGACTTCTGTTGTTGCCTCCCTGATGAGATTCACTTTCTTTTTTTCCTCTTTCTTGGCAGGATCAAACCCCTGGCATCGTTGCCAGATTGCAGGAGCCGGGCTCCATCCCGAGCGGCGGCTCCGTGCCGGCACCGGCCACGGTCAATGGGTACACGATGAGGAACCATTTACTGAAGCAGCAAATCATGAAACGGCAGCTGATGCAGGTACGATGCCCAGTGCCTCCGTGGGTCACTGTGCTCTCCACCTCACTGGGAAGGACAGGACTAACTGGAATGAGGAAATGATCAGTCAGCAAACACTGAGAGTGACTCTGGAATTGCTAGGCTGAGTCAGACTAAGGCTGTGGTGAGTCTAGCATGAAGCCAAGAGAGGCCAAGGCCAAGTGCTGCTCTGCCAGAGTTGAGTACAGATTTGCCCCCTCATATGCAAGGGAAGGATTTGGTCACCTCCATATCCCTGATGTCATTTTTGGTCAGCCACAGAGTTGGGAGGGAAGATGCAGAGAAGGGAGGCTTGGAAAGTGAATCAGCACCAGAGAGATGTTCTCAATGCTGGCTTTTTCTCTCTGGTTCCCTGGGGATTTAGCAGAGCAGATGTTAGGCTGTGTTGGTCACAGCTGCTGCCCACAGCAGGGATGTGAGTGCAGTGCTGGGTTCTGGGGCTAAATGGAGGGAGACTCAAATCAGGTCACCTGGACTAGCCCAGCAATGCCTTGCTTAGGGAGCACCTGCTGTGGATCCTGTGTTCTGGTTCAAAGTGGCAACCAGCACTCAAGGGGATGGTGCACATGGGCAGAGCTTCCAGTGGCAGCACACTTGACTCGTAAACTGGTGAACACAGGAGTCTCCATGTCCATCCAGCTCCCCTTTGGCTGCCTGCACAGCATCTGCTGAAGGTTGCAGTTCCCAGTGCTGGGCTGGCATCAGGACACCTCTGCAAGAAGGGGAATGTGAGAAATTAAAATTCAGTCTGAAATGAACTGTTTGGGCTGAGTCTCATCAGAGGAGGGGGGTAAAGGGTGGATGGGAGAGGTTGCTAATGATAGTGGTGGGTACACTTCAAGTGTCTGCTGCTCTTTTGGTTGTTAAAAGACTGTAACTTCACTGTTACTCCTCTTGTTTTCCAGGAAAAGCAGAGACAAAACATGCTGGGAGTAACATCTGAACAGAGGAACTTGTTTGCGGCTCAGCAGATAAACCAGTTTCAAGGTAAGGAAGGAAATGGCAATGAAAATGGTCTGAAAATCCTTGAGATGCCAGGGCCTGGTGTCTGGTTAAATAGAGACACTTAATGATTCTCTGCCCTGAATTGCAAGCATTTTGCATTTTATCACATATTGTGAGATTCCGGTATCGTTATGGCTCCATAGAACTCTGTTACAAAGAACACAAAGGGGAAGCCCCGTGACATGAAAGAAAGAGCAGCAGTTTTTAAAGGTTTAGCCATGTTCCAGGGTGAATCTGTGCTCACCAGCTAACGTGTCTCTTTGTCCACAGCCGTGCAGCAGCCCATTCCTCCTGACTGCAACCAGGTGATTCCTGCTCCTCCGCCCAACCACCGCATGCTGCCGTCAAACCCAGCCATGCTGCAGAGCACCTTGGGCTCTGGCATGGCCTCAGCCACCGCCAGCCAGAGCAGCGGGACGATGGTGATGATTCCACACAACCCTGGCAAGCAGCAGGGGATTTTTCCACCTAATTCTGACTTTAACATCCCGCTGCGGCCAAGCCAGAACTCATTAGGGATAAACTCGGGGTGCCAGACTGTTCACAGCCACTCCACTGTGAGGCCGGGAATGCCAATGGGAGGCTTCAGTTCTGGCTCCTTAGCAAATCACTCTGCAACTCAGCAACACTTGAGGCAGCCGAGCATGCCAAGAGTCCCCAACGTCTACCCCAACTCATCAGCCCAGATGTGGACGCCGACTACAGTGCCAAGAATGCCAAATCAAAGCCAAATGGACACCAGCATGCAGCAGTTTTCTGGGAACACGGTGTTCTCCAAACAGGGCGTGAGGCCCAGCACACCGGGTCAGGCGTTCTCCCAGCAGGCTGTGGTGCCACCGAACCAGATCGCTCCTGGCATCCAGGTCAGGCAGATGCAGAAACTGAGCATGGCACAGTCTGGCCAGGGCTTGAGCTCAATGAGTAATCAGAGCTTGAGACACAATTTAACCAGGGGACCGTTGCCAGCTATGAATGTTATGAAATCGTTGCCCCAGGGAGTGTCCAGTTTTAACCACCTCAACGCTGCCCCGGGCCTCGGCCCGCCAAGCTACCCTTCCACTGGGCAGCCCGACGCCTTCAGCAGGATGGGCAGCACTGCTGAGCTGCCCCAGTACGACTTTGTGTCCCAGCACAGCAATTCCATCATGCCTGCCAACTGCAGCGACACTGACTTCCTCGACTCCCTCATGAAGAACAGCAGCAGCAGCAACGACGAAGAGTGGTTGAACAATCTGACAATGATAGATGACATTTTGGGACAGCATGCTCAAAGCTCTGGACACGTTTAGCTCGGAGAGAAGCAGCCTCGTTGTAAATAACACACGTATGGCTTTGAACAGAACAGACAACCCGTGGAAGCCACTGCCTCGTTCAATACAGAGGGAATGGACTCGGCCAATTCTTTGCCTGCATCAAAGTTTAATATTGGCAGTTTTTCAGATGACTGTACATATTTGAATATTTTGTAAATTATGTTTTCCTAAACCTTAAATGTAGAAGTATTTATACTTCTTTGCTGGGCTCTTTGTAAATAAATCTATAGCATAACTTTTGGTTTTATTATAGGGATTTCATTACACCTTGTTATAAATATGCAAATAATATTGTTAGTTTCAGTAATACTGTGTATTACAGCATAAAATACTTATGTTTTTGACATAACTTAACACATGATCTAGAGGTGTCATTGCAACCAGACTAAGCAGAAATCAAATGTGGCATCTATTCTCCCATATCACGAGGAAAGATTGAAAAGTTGCATTAAAAAGATAAATAAATAAAAACCCTAAAAGGAGCTGCTGATTCCCTCGTTGCTTAGTCTTGCAGACCAAACCTGGCACACAGGTCCCATCCAGGCACGCAGTGCATTCAGGGATCTGCTTGCAGAGATCCATTTGCCAGATCCTGGGCGTGTTCTTGACACACTCCAGTGGGTCGCTGTGGCAGCGCTGTCCTGCAGGGAGCGTGGGCTGGTGACCTTCAGTGCCGGTGGCGTGTGCCTGACGTCGCAGGCTCGGCGTGGTGCGGCCCATGGTGGCCACACTGGACAGGAGGTGCTGGGCAGGCGCTGCCCAGCTTCCAGCCACCAAACCCTTCAGAAAAAGGTAGCTCTGGTTTGTGCACCTCTGCCATGTATGTTTGTAGTGTACAGGTGATTTGTTCCTGGTTTTAAGGCTTTTCATAATTTCTGTTTTAATGTAAGACTTTTTTCAGGGGAAAAGTCTACAAACATTAATAGTTAATTTTTGATGTTTTTCTGTCAGCTACTATTGTCCTCTGTATATTTAAGAGTCTGTTTATAAAGGATTCGCTGTACTGTAAACTTCTTAAAATGTTCATACTTTGTGTAATCATATTTTAATAGTCACGTCATACTTCGCAATACATTTGTAATATAACGTCAGCTTCAAGCACAGAATGTTTTTTTCTTCATACCATAATAAACTGCCAGGGGAAAATTGCATATCTTTATGTGCTCATTTTTCAGCTACAGTGTTTTGTACCCGCAGATATTTGAATTAATTTGATTTGTCCAGGATGCTACAACGTCAATCTAATAACATGTACAAATGCATGTGTGCTGTTGGTAGGAGCAGTGGGCCAGACAGAGAGTTTAAGCAGGCTTTAATTTTATTTTAAGGTGGGATTGCTGAGGCCCACTGTCCTTTTCAAGTATAATTATATGTGAATGTGAAATTAATCTCTGTTGGGTTTTTTTTTTTACATAGCACCATGTTTATTTAAGTGACAGTTCTTGTGTGTAAATGCCAAGTGTGAGGCAGTGAGAAGGGGACCTTGCTCATTTTGTGACACCTGCAAGGGCAGTGGTGGGTACAGAATGTTATTCCTTTGACATAAAAATTGTCTTATAGGAGAGCTGGTGCCTGTCCTGGGGGACGCCAGGCTGAGAGGAGGGGTAGGAAAGAACAGGAAAACTTCAGCAATGTTAAATAAATAACAAATAGAATCTGGAGCTAAAATTGCCTTCATTTAACTGAGCCAGACACGGCCTCAGCTTCCCAGTGGAGAGGTGTTGTTGCTGCCCTTTTTCTGAGGCACACTGTGGGCACTGAAAGCCCGAGGAAATCTCCTGGGGGGATTCCTTGCTGGAGGGAGGGCTTTGACAAGTACATTCCTGTTCTGGAGTGGGTCTTTCCAGGAGCCTCTTCTCCAGAGGCAAAGGGCAGAAAAAAGCTCCTGAAGTCAAAAATGAGAGGGGACAGTCAGGGTTTAGAGCAGCCAGGCACACGCTCTGCTGCTGCTGCGCCGGTGGGCAGGAAACCTCCCTGGGTACAGCCGCTCCAGGCTGGTCAGAGATCCTTGTCGCTTCCTGATGGCAAAGGCAGATCCCACAGAGCCACAGGTTTTGAGGGGAATGACCCCTAACCAGCTTCGTCTTGAGTTTGACGTGTACTTGTATGAAACCAGGGTGAGGAAGAAAAAAAGCCAGTTTTTCCAGCAAAGGAAACCAAACAATTGCCTAAAATATGCTGTAGAACTCAGCAAGAGTCTGAGTGAGACAGAAATGCTGACTTGCCTCTGGACAGCAGAGAGGGGGAGAAATGCCCATGAGTGAGTCTGTGGTGAGGACAAAGGTGAGTTTGTTTGGCTGTGAAAACTGGCACCATTTCAGCAGCTTTTCTGTCGGGAGCTGTATCCTGCCAGGGCACAGGGAGCTTCAGGGAGTGGCAGGTCTGACACAGATCTGGGATCCAGAGGCACTCAAGCCCTCCAGGCCAGCAGCACAGCAGCCACTGATGGCAGAGAAGGCTACTGCCCACATGCTCCTCTTTGGGATTTTAATAAAAACAGCCAAAATGTCCCCTTTTCATTCTTCATTTTGTTTGTGTCAATACACACTTCATCTTTTTAGCTCTGCGTGATTTGGGTTACAAACACTGTGGGGAGGATGTCTTCAAAAGCTAACAACTGTTTCCCACAGAATTTTTATAAAACAGTTTATCTTGTACCTCTGTTATGTACGCATTTGTTTTTACTCTGGTTTTTTTGTCTACCTTTTCAGCTGGTAGAGCTTTTCACCCCTCCATATCCCATTCCTCATGCCTCAAGAAGGAATGATGATCCTTCCTTGCCACAGAGGTGGTGTTAGAAGAAGAACTGGACTAAGTATAATTATTATTGTCTTGCTAGTTGTATTTGTAACTACTCTTTAGTAAGCATGTCTTTTTGGGGAGTTGGCACATAACCACAATGACCAATGCCCTGCTTGGGTTGCAGCCCAAGCACAAGGCTGCTGCCTCTCCCTGGGTCAGCTTGGGCTGGAGCACAGGCACAGGGAAGTGCAGGGCAAAGGCATCATGACCACAGACAAACATTCCAGCAGCTGGAGTACCAGCACTGCAGTCCTGGTTGGTGTCAGGCTGTGACAGTTAATGACAATTAATTGTCTGTTTTTTTCTGAAAAAAACCCTCTACACCTTTGTCTGTACTTTGCCTTCCCTTCTCTCAGTTTAAAGTGTGAAAATGCCCAAAGTGTAATCCTGCCTTCGCTCTGACAGTCTGTGTCATTAAGGCACATAGTTACAGCTAGTAAGGGCTAGTGAGGTATAGGACTAAACACATCTGCACAGTTCTCCTGCTGTATTTACTGGAGCAGCAGATCACCCCACAAGATGAACATGGACTTACACCGTGAGCCAAATTCTGCCACCAGGCAGTGTAAACACACAATAGATCTCCTGAAGGCAGTGGTACAGTATGGGTTTTATACAAACATAAATAAGAGCAGCATGGGGTGCTCTGGCAGTGCAAACTGAATTTGGATTTCTAAAATAGTTACAAGGACCGAAGTGTCTGACAGCACTCACTGTTGAATGCCATCATTTATTTTCCACACAAGTTACGTCACCAGACTGCCCTCATAATTATGGCCATGAAAAAGCAGAGGCAAGGCAGTAAGCTTTTCCTCTTGGATTCTAAAATAACATCAAATGCCTATAAAGTCCAGAATTTCCAAAGACCTGAGCTCACTGAAAGCCTTTCTCACTGAAAGATTAGTAGCATAGGTAAGCCAGACTTACTATGGAAAAATTCTCTTTGTGGATTGTATTAATCTAAAGCAGCCCATTTATAACAAAGGAAAAACTGAAAAACACACACTTTCCTATTAGACAGTAGGCAGGGAATGCCTAGGAATAGATGTCATGGGAGCCTGGATCAGACCATTTCCCTGGGAAGCATAGCCCTGACTTATGCAGAACCTGAGCCCTGCTGCTCAGTGGCTCTCCAGGATTGATTACATGTCTGTCTTAAGAAGCTTTCAACAAAGGAAGCTGCACTGATGTTGAAGTGTAAGGTCAAGCTCCCCTCTTGTGTAGGATGTTGTAAATCAGGAGCTATTCCACTGCCTGCTGCAGGGTAACCCCTGATTTACACCTCTCTGGGAGCACAGCAAGCACCTGGCAAGAAGCTGGCACTTGTCTCATGGTCCTGCCTGGATGACCCTGATGGTGGGAGAGGCGCCACAGATGGCCAGGGTGGCCCCAAGGGAGGACTTGCTCCCTGCTGGTGCTGCAGGGCAGCAAGGACACGGGGAGCAATGAGGCAAGTGGCCACTGCACCAGCTCTGCCTCTCTGCTGCTGCCTTCTGCACTGACAGGCAGGTGGCACATGCTCCTGGGGGGACACTTGGCCCTGGCACATCTGCCCAGACAGTTTTTCAGGCTGAGCTCATGTTTTGGTGCTAAACTCCAAGACTGTTTTCTTCTATTCCCCGGTACAGATAAATAGATAAATATATAGATACATGTATAGAGATAGATAGATAGATAGATAGATAGATAGATAGATAGATAGATAGATAGATAGATGATAGATAGATAGATAGAAAATTAAAACAAACAAACAAAACCTAGAAAAAAGTGAGATGTTTTAAATACCAATAAGGGTCTCTCCCGGGCAAGCTAAAACAGAAGTACTGGTCAGCAGATGCAGGAGTTCCTGAGAACTTATGACTCTGCCTGGGCAAGAGGCCTCCTGTGTACAATCCTGCATGAAACCAGGGACAGGCAGGTTATTAAAGCAGCTGGGCTGAAACCACTGGAGCTGTGGTTAATCACAGCCATGGTTGTGTTATAGGTGAGTAATGCAATGGATTAAAGGGAAAATATTATGTATATGTTACAAGAAGTTTTGTAGATGTATAGTTATGTTTCCCCCCTTGCACTGTTATCACAGATGGCCTGGCTTGTTGGGGCATCGGGGAGGGTCAGCTTGTTGCTGTGGCAGCACCTGGCCTCCAGTCAAGGATGTAAGGAAGTGATCTCCACCACTGGACAGCGAAGAAGGAGTTGATTGACAAGACTTTGGGAGGGGTTAAAGGTTTAAAGGGCGGAATTGATTGTGTGGATGAGCACATGGTGGTAGAATCCTTTGTGCTGTATTATCTTCTCTAGTCAGTCTTCTGGTGTATTTTTTGATAGGCTACAATAAACCTTCTAAATTTTTGGAAGCGAGTATAATTTCTCACAACAGCTACGTGCCGATTGAAACAAGCCCCATCACAGCAGTGATTTGTCCCCACAGCCCAAAGGGCCCATGGCTGAGCCCTGCTGCCGCTCTCAACGTGTGTCAAAGCCAAAAACCACTGAGAAGCTCCTGAGGTTTGTGCATCACATTGTTTTTGTCCTTATCAAGGTTTTTGATGCTGCAGTTTAATGTCTTTAACCAACTTGGCTGGAGAAGAAAAAAGAAATGCCCTTTTAAGCTTAGAGTTGCATTTGTATTTTAAAAGGACATTTTAATTGTTCTGATGTTGCCTTAATCCCTTTTCAAGGAGTGAAAAGACACCGTGTGCTGACCCTGCTGGGTTCCCTGTCCTGGAGCTGTGCTGTGTTTGATGGATGACTGGGACAGACAAGACCTGGAGCAGTGGCAGGGATGGTGAGAGTGGCCTATTTTCACTCCCTGAGGGGAAACCAGCCCAAAGCTATAAAGTTGTGAAATCTCATTTTTGTTTTGCTGATATAGAGCTGTGCTTGACTATCAAGCTGCAGAAATATGCTTTGTTTCAAGTTTACAGACTGCTCCTTGTCAACCCTGCTGGCTTTGTATGGCAGCCAGGGAAAGAGAATTACCTGGCAGCCCCTTATTCCTTTCCTCTTCTCAGCCCATAAATTACTATTCTCTCTCAGCTATTAGCTGACTGCACTATTTGCCTAAGCAGGTCCCATTAACCCCCTGTTTGAGCCTTACAATCCTTAATAAATATATATGTTTTTCTGTGCTCTTTCAGGATAGTTGATGATGTCCATTAGCAGTGGGGGACCACGAGGCACAAAAGGCTCAAGACTCGAATCCCAAAGATATTTAGGTGCCTAATGAGGCAGGCAGACACCAGTAGGATTTTTCAAGTGTAGTTAAGCAGGACCAGCAGCCACGTCTCATGGGCAGTGGGTTGTGTGTTACCACCAGTAGCTGTGCAGATCCGGGAGGATAAGCTGC